TTTTTGGGCCCCCCCCCCCCCCCCCCCTTCGGAAATTATTTTTCTTTTTGGGCCGACCCCCCCCCCCGAGGCCCACCCCCCCCTCTCTGTACTCATCGCTTTGTTCCTGGAATTCCGCCCTCCTGCGGGCCTCTGACGCCGCCGCCGCCGCTGCCGCCGCCGTTTGCTGTTGTTTTGGCGCGCCTCCCCCCCCCCCCCCCTTGCCCCACCCCTTCTTCGGGCTGCTGCCGACGCGGAGCTTGCGCAGGGTCCTCGGCGACTCCAGGTAGTTGTCGGCCGCGGCCACCTTGCCCGTGACCCAGGGGTGTTCCAGGGCCCGCTTGGCGGTAAGCCTCGCCTGCGGTGTAACCGTCAGCAGCTTGGAGAGGAGGTCTTTGGCGCCCGGCGAGAGCTTTTGCGCCCACCGGGGGAAGCGGAGGACGAATTTCTGGGGGAAGCGCCGCGGCGTGGTGGGGGGTGGCCAACAAAACCAAAAGAGACGGGAGCGAAATAAAGACAAGACGGGTGGGGAAGCAAGGGGCGAGTGGACGGGGAGCGGTTTAGCTGGTTCCGAACCGAGCTCGAACGGGGAAAAAACTGTTCCTTTTCTAGGATGAAGACAAGCAGCAGGCATCGCTATCCGTTCGAATCGCCACGCGGTCCCGTTTGTGCCCAGCTAAAGTTGCCATTTTCGCATGCGTCAACCGCGAGGCGAGGTCGATACCGACAGCAACAACAACAACATCAACGTGCACGAAACAAACAACCCCAGGCGAAACGCTTACGACAGGTGCCATCATGCGTACCCTCCAGTGCTGTTTTCCGACTTTCCTCGTGTTCGACAATCACCGCCAAAATACACGCCAAAAAGAACGAGAACGAGCGTGGGGGGGGGGGGCGGGGCTCCGCACCTGAAACGCCCCGGCACGGTTGAGCTTCTTGCTGTCGTCGTCGAAGGGCAAGCACCCGCACAGCAGCACGAACACGATCACCCCCAGCGCCCACACGTCAACCTCCTTGTTGTAGGACTCGCGCTGGAGCATCTCCGGCGCAAGGTACCCCTGCGACAAGCGTTGAGAGATCGTTCCTTGTGACACGCGTTGCTGCGATGAGAGAGAGACTGCTTGCGTGACAAGCGTTGAGAGGAGGTTCTTGCCACCCGCGATGAGAGATTGTTTGTCATACGACACGCGTTGAGATCGTTTTTCGTGACAACCGTTGAGATAAGATCGTTTTCGTGGCGTTGGCCTGCAACACAATACGGAGAATCTCGTTTCAGCTTGCAGGTGTGGTTTCAATTCAATCGTGTGGCTTTTCTGGTTCCTCGGTTTGATGGGTATGGGTCGTCTCTCTCTCATCTCGTCTTCAGTTATCGAATGCTTAGTGTTTTAGCCAGGTGGTGTAGGATCATCGATACGTTGAACCGGCACAAGACCGTCGTTGAGACAGCTACCTTGGATTGCACAAGAACGGCGCTGGCATAGAACCGTTGAACGAGACACGAGATCGTTGCCACCCTAGCCTAGATCAGTTGAAAGGCATGAACAACTTTTATCAACACAAAGGATGTCGTCAAGCGGTGAGCTGGCTGCAGCAACCAAATAAGGCTGACGACGCCAGCGTGCGGACATGGAAACGCATCGAGCCTACAACAGACAGCGAGAATCAGAATAAAGGCAGTCTTTGGGCGGTGTGCCGTAGTTTCTTGCTTGCGCTCTGCCAAACCACTCGGCGAGTTCATGGCATGCCCACTTGTTGGACCTTAGAGCATCCCCAGCCTCTCGCCTTCACCTCGAGCCTTGAAAGCCAATCAAAGCTATGCCCCCCCCCCCTAACCCAACCCTTCATGCGACTCGCCGAATACCTCACGGCGCTTCGCGCTTGGTGATGTGAGAGCCTGGTCCGGTGAGAACCCGGCGTCCTCCGTCCCGGCTTTGAAGGGATGCGAGGTAAATGGTCAAACGACTACGGCATGCACGACTACGAGTACCCCCCCCCCCCC